CGGCTTCACAGCTGGGTGCCCACTGTGCATGCACAAGTAGCGCTGCGCTTCCTGAATGGCCCCGTTGTCTTCTGGGACCTGTCACGTGTCCCACAAGACTTTGGGGAGGGAGGGTAGGACGACAACTTCCGTTTCCGATCGCAGCGGAAGTGGGAGCAGGTACCTGTCAAATTCGGGTACCCATTCCCCCCCCCCAAAAGGTGCCAATCCTTAACGGGGAGCGGGGGACCAATCTTTAAAGCGGAACTTCCCATTTTGGGTGGAACTCCACTTTAAAGCTGTATTAAATCCAAAGACTTTATTATATTCCAGTTTATCAATTGTTAGATGTGATAAGTGCATTCATTTTTTTTTCCCCTTTAATTTTCACCTGGTGATCCTGCTAGCAAGTCTGTTATTTTTTCAACTTGTCCAGCAAAAAAGTTAGTGTGTTGGGATAGTTTAACACTCAAAAGGGATGCTTACAATTTAATCTCACTGTACAGTAAAAATGGTGTACATCTAAACTTGTTGAAAGAAAAGAGAAACAGCAGCAAAACAAGTAGGCTGATGCTTTGGTTTTATTTGAAAGGCCCAATTAAAAATTATTTCTCAGGGCTATATTGATCTGGTTCTTATTGGATACCAGCTCTATGTACACTAGCTACTGAAACCAAGATACACCTCTTATTTGTAAGTAGAACTACTGGCAAACATTTTTTCCCCATTTTGATAGAGTAAGCTAGGGTTAATGTGTGTGTGTCATCTGTCAGTGGGAGATTTACCCTTACTTCCTCTCCCATAGCCAAAACAGGAAGTGAAGGGAAATCTTGGGATTTTTTTTCCTTTCACTTTTGATAACAGTAAACAAGACAATGGGGGGGGGGGGTAGCAATAAAAACCTACCAGGTGTTATAATCCATCTCCACTCTATCCAAGACTTTTACCTTTAGTTACACGTTAATGTGCTCAAGAATGAAATGCAGTGAGCTGGATTATGGCACGAATAAGACAAAAAACAAGTATGATTAACATTGTAGATGAGATCCCTAAGCATTGACATATCTGTTCCAATGTCAGTGTGCCAATGTTCTGGGACCCCAAGTGTCAGCACGTGTATGTTTTCTAGTGCAGAGCTCTCCTCTGCTTCCCACCCTAAGGGTCAGTTCACACCTTTCAGCTGAGGTGCAATGTGGTAACATTACAACATACCATACAAGGGATAGCATGTTGTGGTGCCATTCATTTTCAATGGCACCCCAATGAAGGAAGGCAACACACCAACACACACATGCATTCTGAGTTCCTCACCACATAACACCACACTACCAAATGGTGTAGGTATATTTTTTCGTATTCTGGTGCGTTGGCGGCCCACTTATTTGACACAACATTCAACATAAAGCTCATTATACACAACACACAGGAAGGTGAAAATGAAGGTGTGTATGGGCCCAAAGGCAAATCATAGCTATAATACCTCCAATCCCATCAATGAAACCATTTCATACAAAATATCCAGTTTTTTTAATTAGATTTTTGGTAGTCAAACAGCAGTAAAAATAACATACATAAAACAAACAGATTTAGTTATATACTGGACAAAAAAAAAATCTGAAATAAAACATTAAATCTATTACAAATCATTAGGGTTTAAATGATAAGGTGCAGGAACAATTGTCTCCATTTCTTTGGATGGGAAAAAAAAGTTAATTATGTGACCAATTGGTATAAATGCAGAGGAGCCAACAGCATCCCAAATGGTGCAGACCCAATGGAAATGTATGACAATATCAGCATATTGAGCCCAGCCTTTTTTTTTTTTTTCCCCCTTTGATTCAACAATTAAAAAAAAAAAAAAAAAAAGTTTTACATTGCATTTTACCACCCAGACAAAAGGAAATCAGTATTTTAAACAGAATTCCACCTTTCTGGCATATGCAACAGTATGATGGAAAGGCAGTGGTGTTCATCAGCCATCTCCCACTTTTCCATCTGCACAGGATTCTGATGTACTCATTGTGCCCAATTGAAAACAAACCTTCACCTTTTACGATCAATATAGGAGCCATTTTATAGCAATCTATAGTTATGTGCAGTTAACAATGAAGGACTCTCACAGACTATTATAGCATCCTGTGTGTTTACAGTTTCTTCAGGATGAGAAGAATGCAAATATTTTCCATTAAAGGAAGGCTCCATGCATACAATTTACAAAAAAATTCAAATGTTGCTTCCTTGTAGTACTACTGTATGTGGTCCTTTTCTTCTCTGTGATTGGCTGATTTTTCCCGCAGTTATTACAGCACTAGAATTGATCATGTGATTAGAGCAGGCAGTCCCAACAACTTGGTACTCAGAAAGTAATGTGAAAGGAAAACATGGACCTCAAAACAGCACATTAAAGGATAAGTTAACCTTTGGGAACATGTTACATGTTCCATTCATTTTTAGGGTCGAACATGTAAACATGTTCCCACTGCTGCGGTGTCTCACCGATCCACCGCTTGTAGCGACAGTGAGCTGGAAATCTTCTCTCTGATCTCGCTGTCACAACTCAATGAACTACCAGAGCACCGTTGAGTGCTCTAGGTAGTTCACTGATGCTTCCTATCAGTGTGTAACTGCCTGCCCATACAAGATGGGAGCAGACAGCTTTTACTGACATTCTACAGGAGCCTTGCATCTGCTGATTGTGGGTGCAATATGCTTTACAGGCTCCTGTTAAAAAAAAGAAAAAAAAAAAATTTACCAGCAAAAAGATGTACTTTTTTTTTTTTTTTTTTTTTTTAAAAGGTGAACTTAGGCTCTGTTCATACCTATTTAGTTGGCTTCGTGTCCATTTTGTGCTTTTCGCAGCTAGTTTTGCGTTTTTCTACACACCTTTTGTGATGCATTTTTACCGCATTTTCAGCTTTTTTTCTGAAGGTCTTTTTTTTTTGTTGCTGGGCAGAATAAAAATGCAAAACGCACTACCATGCACTTCAGCAGCTTCTCCATTGAACCCCATTGTACAAAAATGCTGCTTTTTGCTTTTTAAAAAGTCCCTGACCCTTTCCAAAGAATGCAGCAGCTCAAAAAAAGCATATGTGAACATGTTCCATAGGAAACCATGTTAAATGGACTGTAGTGCGTTTCTGCAAAAAGCAGTAAACAACGCATTGGAGCGAACGGAGCCTTATCCCTTGTTGTGGATGGTGGAGTTGAGTTCTAGGAGCCCTTCACACAGTGTTGCGGTAACGTGCCGTGTGCTGCAATGCTTTTCATTTAAAGTAGTACCCCAAGGCGGCAATACAATAGATGGCAACTGACCTGTGATGCACTGCATTAAAAACGTTCTACAGGTTAGATTTTTTTTTTTGTCTATTACCCTGGATTAACAGCCAATCCAAGATAACTGGTATATTGTAACAACGCATGCGGGCATAAACAATGACCACAAACACAGGCGTGAGGGGTCCTTCCAAGCAAAACTGTAAATGCAGCCTTTGGATACATACAGAAAAAGGGTAACCCAACTGGCCAGACTCTGGTCCCATTTCATGCAGCGTACCAAGTCAGTCTGCTCCCAACAATGTCAGTGTTGCCAAAAATATGTTGCACTGGGAACAAAACTAGCTGAACCCTGTGAGAGGAAGGAGGACAAAAAGAGGAAAAGAGAGCGTAGGAGGGAGGAATTGAGGGGATGAGAGATAAATATTTATATATTGCACAGAACATGACGAGAGTCTGCAGTCCCACTGGAAGCACTGTGGAAAACCTGCTTAATAAATATAAAATAAGCAGGCTTTCTGACCCTGTAGCGGTGTTTAATGGTAGCATTGGCAGGTCACCAGCAAATTTAACTTATTGCCTACAGCCACTCTCAGTCTCTTCAACTTTTTAATTTTAAAGTGTACCTGTTAGGAGAGAAATATGAAGATGTCCATGGCTGACCTCTCCTATACTCGTTTGCTAGTTGTCTGGTAGTCATTCTGATGCTTTGGCTTTGACAGATTTTGAACTATAATTTTCACTTGTGTCATTCTTGTTTCCAAGTCACTTAAAAAGCACTAAAGCCAGTTACAGCCAGAAAACTAGTATAATCGGAAGGAAGTCCGTAAAAAAAAACCTCCATATTTAGTACACAACAGGTTTATTTAAATCAAAATAATACAAATAACAGCAGCCCAAGCACAAGGCACACTTTCCTTCAAAAGTAAAAACCCTTTAGCTAGCCATACACTGTGCGAATTCCAGCTGGTTCCTTAGGAGGGTTGTCCTATCATCGGTCTCCTGCCTAATATCCTTTCATCGAAGAAGCCAAGCGGAAAATTGCCAGCCAAACAGCAGTAGCATCCGATCAGATGCAGCCACTGTTCGAGTATCCTGAGAGACGGCTGGGCTGGCTGTCCAAATACAATAGTCACTGTAGGAGACTCATACAGCATAGATGGAAGAATTTTTTTTTTGCATTCGTTCTGCAGGCTGAGTTGAAAAAAAACTCACTGTATGTCTAGCTTTAGTCCTTTGGCTCCTCTGGTGGTGCATGCTGGGATATAGCCCTGGAGCAGCTTCCAACATAACCATTGTCTAATTCGGTCTAGCCAAGGACAACCCCTAAAAAGGGGTTACAGTGGGTACAGAGGACAGTACATCAGAAAAAGGAGTTCTGAAACAAATCCCACCCACAGAACAGATTATAAAAAACATCTTGGGAAACATTTCAGTTACTGTAATCAACGTTCACACCAAACGTTCAGTTTTAAAAATGAAAAAAAAAAAAAAAAAAAAACACAGTAGTTACTTGCAATCCGGCACTTGTAAATACTTATAGATTTATATATATATTTATTTTAAAAATGTTCCTCTTTATAAGGCATCACAGATTGTAACGTCCAGCGTCAGCACAGTTTGTCCTTGGAGATTGCACGATGGGGCTTTGTCCCCGGAATAAAAACAAGGATTAGGATGTGTCCGCTGAAGCATCCTCTGAGTGGAGCTGGAGTGGTTTTTTTAATCTACAACTAAAAGCAACCTTTTCAGTTTTCATTACTGACTCCGGCCTCGCTGCAGCTCTGTTCATAGGATGGTGGAGCATCTGTAGGGTAAAAAGAAAGAAAATAAGCTCTCTCATGAATTCCACAGAGGATCCAAATATAAAGATAGATATACTAGCAAGTCATTTTCAGAACGGAACCAATGGTATCCAGATACACTTCATTGCGAATGGATATAAGTTGCATTCCAATTTAAAGCAAAAGTTGAAAAGAAAATGTATTTTTTTTTTTTCCTTTCCCAGTACCTGGGACATAATTTACCTATAATGAAGTGTAGCCTACATCCTATTGGTGAAGGGGAGTGTAGGCCGCATGATTTTTCACCACTACAGCCATGGTAACCCATATAGTACCACAAGTTCACCACTGTGAAAGTCCTCCCATCAGTGATTGGATCTGCTTCAAAGTAACCAGCAGGACATAGAACACACTTCATTAGAACTAAATTATGTTCCTGGTGTTTTATACCCCCCAAAAAAATTTTGTTTAACTAAAAATCAGCTTTAAAAAAAAAGGATGTGTTCTCCTTTTGGGAAACAATAAATGCACATATTTTTGCAGGAAAAATGTGTATTTATATTTAAAAATAGTGCAGCGCTAAGATACAAATTTAAAATATACGTCCTAAATGTTGAATAAACCTTACAGGTGTAATAGTCTAAGTAATGTGAATAACATAGACTCTTCAATCCAGTGGTGGTACTCCAAGTGGTAAAGTAAGAATTGCGCACTCACCAGACGCCTCACCTCTGGTGAGTGCGCAATTCTTACTTTACCACTTGGAACACCACCACTGGATTGAAGTCTGTTATTCACATTACTTAGACTATTACACCTGTACGGTTTATTCAACATTTAGGACGTATATTTTAAATTTTATATATATTTTAGCGCTGTACTACTTTCGCATATTTGACAAGGTTTTATTTGGTTTCCTTGTGTGTTCAGCTGCTTATTTAAGAGCGCTCACTTCTATTTATTGTATTTATATTTGTTTTCCCCTTAGGAGCCTGGAAAGCATTGAACCCATGATCAGTGGATCAGGGGTGCAATACCAGACTCCTGCAGACAAGCCCTGCAGCTTTCAGCCTATATCTGCATAGGGGCTGACTGTTTACAGGCTGCAAGGCTTGTGAATGAACTACAAGGCCATTCACCAGCAACCTCCATACAGTCGTCAGCCACAAAGTCCGACAGTAGTTGTAGTTCGTGCATTCACAAGAAACTTTGAATGAATGACACAGCCAGTTTTTTCAAATGGTGACAGCAAACGCAGGGCAGATTCCCCGCTTGCTACTGGGGGTGGAGAGGAGATGCTGATGCTGCTGGAACATGTTACCTGTTCTACCCTAAACATGGGTGAAACTTGTAACATGTTCCAAAAGGTGAACTTATCTTTTAAAAAGTATTGAAAGCCCAAACCTTTAATGCAATACTTTATTGTGCTTACAGCCCAATTGTGGGAATTAGCTGCTAGCTCAGTCTAAGGGTGCAGGAAAAAGGGGCGATACTTTCCATCCCATTCCTTGCTCCAGCAGTGTGATCAGTTTCACGAAGTCTCCTCTCTAAGGTGTCTTGACAGCGGTCGCAGTCCTGATTTATCCACTTACAATAGAGGACTACTAGCCCTGCATTGTATAGGATGATGTCAAGGGACTCCCCACAGCCCAGACAGACAGGAGGGGAGCACGGGAGCTAGCCAGAGCTGGAGTAAGGCAAGCGTTACAGCCTTTTCATCTTCTTAGACACAAGTATTTAACCCTTGTAGCGTGGGAAAGCCGCACTGCAAGGGTAGAATTTGTCCATTTGGCTTTAGTGGTGGTTTGGCATTGCAGCAACAACTCTGGAGCTAGAAGTCAATAATTCCACCATACATTGCTCCAAATATCATTCCTTACAGTTAAAAGAGCACTTACCATAAGGATAACCCCATGTGCTGTACTCAGGGGGTAGAATAAGTGTGCTGGCTGTCGGCACCGGAACAACTGCCCCCTCAGCATAATAAGGGACTGTGGACCCTGTGGATAAGCAAAGAGTCGGGTGCGTAGGAGAGCCTAGATTTTCCATCTGTGCATTCGGAAAGTTCAGCTCAGGTGCATAGCAGAATGGGGCATTTGCTTGCTGCTGGGAGTGGCACTTGGTGGGGATAGAAACATTGTCCATTGGCTGGGTGCTGCTACACTGGTCATCATCAGCAGGGGGCGCTGAAGGGACAATAGTGGCTGGCAACTGTGATATAGAATGTCTCAGTCCTAAGCGGGCTTGACTGACTGGTATATTTCCTATGTAGATGGGTAACGTCACCGACACCTCTGGATTTTTTACTGTCACCTAGGTGAGAAAAAAAAATAAAATCATCCTGGTTCATATCATGTACAAAAAAAGGCTTAACTACCACTTTAAGAGATATTTGTTACATAAAATAAGCTACAATAACAAAGCTGGCCATAGACTGCGTTAAATTCAGCAGGGACTGGCCTCAGTTCAATCCATCCATGTCTCTTCCTGTTCAACAAAAGTCGATCTAATAGTTAACTTCTCTGGAATGGGATCGGTAGAAAACTTTTATGTGATAAAACGCCTGAGCCAATTGGCTGCAGTGCTGATCGGTGTATTCTAATAGCAGCAGAGGAGTTCCCTATAGCACAGTGTGGGGGGGATTCCTCCATCTACCTTGCTTGTGCTTTATTTGTTTTTTTTAACCAGCTGGCTGTTTGAAAGGAAGATAATCCATGTGTGGCCAGCCTATGTCTAGGTTCATGCCAGTGGCAGCTGATGCAGTTTTCTGGTGCATTTTATGGTGCAATTTGCCTTTTTGCACGAGTTTTGCGTTTTAGGGATGTGTAATATTGCCAGGGGGAGGTATCTGTTGGCATGCAGGATACATACCAAAAACACATATGCATGTTTTCATACGTTGTTGATGAATTTCCATTGAAGTCTATGGAACCAAAAACGCAATCTGCTGCAGGCAAAAAAAAAAGTCCCTGACCCTTTCCAAAAAACGCACCAGATAAAAATGCAGAGATGTGTAGGAAGGTCGCCTGTTACTGTCATGGCGGCACCAAGCTTCTTACTCCTGCATCTGGAGAGGTTACCAAGACACTAGATGCAGCAACAGATGGTTATAATGGACTATGTGGTGGTCCCCTAGTGCAAGTGCAATTTAAAGCCATTTAAAAAAAAACACTACTTGTATTAAGGGTCATGTCCCTTTAAGAAAACCCCACCACTCTCTCCAAGAGGCCAATATTGAACGCACAAAGGCTGCTCTGTTTTCAGGTGAACACAAGTGCCTTCCTTTTCTGTGTCTAGAACATCTTGTTCCGCCGAGCTCGGAGGAGGAAGGACAACATCAATATAACTCGATAACTCATTACAGCCCAGCCGGATAATTTGACTTTGGTCAGAATGTCTGTGTAACTGCTTTCTGCTTGTTCCTCCACAAATTCTATTTAGTCCCATTTGCAGAAGACAATCCATGACACAGACCCTGATGACTAAGGAGCCAGCTTCATTTGGTGACAATCAGCTTTATTTAAAGGAGGAGTTCAGCAGATGTTGGTCATACACAGGAACGCTCTTTAAAATGTCAAAGGACAGAACAAATTGGATTTCAGTTACCCTTTTAGGGATATAATTACCAGCCAAACTGGTTTGAGTTAATATAGCTGGCAAGCAAACAAAACAAACAGAATACCTTGTGTCTGTGGACCTAGCAGCAGATAGATTGTTTCCATAGTAAAAACATGCATGCTGGGTAATGTGTACGTTTACCACTTACAGGTAATTATTACTTCTCACAGAGATCATAGTATTGCCCTTAAAGTGTTACTAAACCCAGGACCCTGCATTTACTATATCTGGTCTCCCACAGTACACACAAAACATAGAAATGCAATTATTTTAGTAAATATAAACTGCTATATACCTTTTCTCATCAGCAGTTAGAGCAGTCTTGTGACTTCTATCAATGTTTAGCAGAGCACTGGTTAAACCTTGTAGGAGTTTTCTTTCTGCTCTAGGATGATACAAAACTCCTGACCTCTGTCTGGACAATGCTGATTGGCCCTGTGTTGAATCACATGCACTCTCCCAAGACACAAAAAAAAAAAACCTCCCTAGCAACACACACTAAACTGAGCATGTGCATGTGACTACGGGTTCAGTATTTCTGATCAGGTGGACATGTAAACAAGAGGGGCAGAGAAAACAGGACCAAATGGCTTTTTTTGCACAATGCAAAGGATTAACCCCTTAGGTTCTAGTGACTATAACAAGCATGCTTTACTGCATATACAGACTGATTTTACTGTTGTGGGTTTAGTAACACTTTAAAATGCCTTCATGTGTTTATCTACCAGAAGGATGGTTCAATCTTTGTTCACAGCATCCAATGTCATCTACAGTATTACTTCTTGGCCGGAATCGGGTAAATTCTGGTACCTGTGCAGTTCTTTGCTGTGATCACAAAATGTCTGACACATCAGCTCCTGCTGCAACCACTAACCATGTGAATGGTTAATAAGTTACGATGCACAGTCTCAGTGATCACTGGAGGTGAAAGAACCGAGCAACTGGTTTCCCCTGTCTGCAACAGACTAATCAAACATCACAGCCTAGGCAAAGCTGTCTCACTGACAATCAAGGACTGTTTTTGGAATGACAAATCTTTTTTTGGAAAAAAAAACAAAAAAAAAAAACAACCTATTGTGACTTATAAATGTGACACATCAGATGTTCAGTATATCCCCTACAACTGTGCTATCCAACGACTCAACAATTTTTATACACCCTTGTTAACATAAAAAGCTGTATTTAAATAAATCTATTATAGCCACACAAAAAACATCCTTGAAAATGGATTCACCACTTTTAACCATGTAAATTATCCACAGCACAACAGGTCTGCTGAAATCCACATCAAACATGATCCAACTGTGTTGATCACCACCACCACCTTCAGAAAGATTCATTCACCAGAAGAGATGGACTTCAAATATAAAAGGTCAGATGTAGATGTTCACCATCATCTCCAGATCTCTCATAGGAAAAGACATCCTGATAGGAATACCTTTATTTCATAAAGAGCTCTTTTCCATCATTTCAGCTCCATAAATTCTCACAATGCGGGAAGAATATAAGCATACAAATAAAATCCAAATGTGTAAACACTGCTTAATGCAAATAAATAACGATAAATATCATGCAAGTATGGCACGGGTGTCAAATTGGTGGCACTCCAGCTGTTGCCAAACTGCAAGTACAGAATAATACTCACAAACACTGAGCTCTGAGGAAGAAGGTTCGTCCTTCGAACGTGTCAGCTGTTCCCTGAGTGTCCACTCCTCTGATGGGACTCGCGCAGGTTGCTTTTATCCTTAGTCCCTTTGAGGACTTACATGCATGATATACGTCAGTGTTTGTGAGTATTATTCTATAATATTCTATAATAATTTGGCTTACTGAGGTAATGCGTAAGGTTGGTGCGCTCTTTGTTTTCGCTTCACAGTATTGCTCGGGCTTCCCCAGCCTTGTTTGGAGCTGCACAACCCCATATGCACTGGTGGTAGAAACTTCCAAGCCCTGACTCCATCTACCTACCCCGTGTTGGGTCATAGAGCAAGAGAGTTTGTTTTCTGCCAAACTACAAGTCCCATGAGGCATTGCAAGATTGACAGTTACAAACATGACTTCCAAAGGCAGAGGCATGGTGGGACTTGTAGTTTCGCAACAGCTGAAGGGCGGCCAGCTTGACACCCCTGAAGTATGGAAAGACTGTCATGCTCATAGGGTCCCACCACAGCATGAAACCTCACGATCCTGTGTTTACACTCAGGGTAGGTAATGTGAACCAGTGTGCCACAATCACCAATCAACCAGAACTTTACCAGGAGCATCCTGATGCTTGTACTGGGTCTATGCAGAGAACATTATATGACTATTTGATTGACTGCAAACTATCTCACCATGTATCTTTGTGATTTCCTCAAGCAGAACTACACTGCATCTGAGCACCAAAGAAAAAAAAAAAAAAAAAGATTTCATTTTTATTATTCAAAGCAAATAAATTCAATTCATCTAGGTCTCCATGCTTTATTTGGCTGAGAAATCACTTTAAAAAAAAAACCTCCTAGCATTTATGGCCATCTTAAGTAAGGGCAGATGATTCACATAGCATTTACTTCCTGGAATCCATCTGCCCTTAGCTCAGACTTGCAGCCTGGAGGGTGTGCTTAGCTGAGGTAAACCCCTACTTAAGACTCCTGGGATGTATGAAATCATTTGCCTAGACCTGGAAGCCAGAAAGTAACTGATGAAAACGTGAAAAAAAAACAAAAAAAGCTTAAAAACAAGTAATTATGTTATTTTCCTAGTTACTAATGCTAGCAGCATAAGATTAAAAATGGTCAATGATGATTGTCAGAGTAAAGTTCCACTTTAAGGACAGTCAATATAGAGGACATTTTTTGACATTGTATGTTAAACACATGATATGGAGGGTTTATTACACAGTTGGGTTATCTATTAGAGAAACAGGTGAATGCCTGGATAGATTATTGGCGCACTGAAGAATGGGTCACTCAAGGGTTAATACCACACAGATTAAGGTGGGCTCTTACTCCCAACATTGACTCACAGATGCAAAACCAAATGAAGAATGGTTTTCTTTTTCAATGTTTGTGAGAGAGAATCATTGCTTTTATAGATTTAAAAAAAAAAAAAAAAATCAATTTCAAATGGGAGAAAAGTAAAAAAGGTTTGACAGGAAAACTACAGTAATATTGGTTTAAAGAAAGAAAATAAAAAATATGTTCCAAAACAGTGCAAGACAGAATTATTAAGATAGAGAGACCAAGGATAACAATTTTAGCAGTATGTACAGCATGTACCTCTTGAGCCGGTACCAGACCCCCCCGCCTGATTGATGAGCTGGTACCAGAACCCCCGCCTGATCGATGAGCCGGTACCAGAACCCCTGCCTGATCGATGAGCCGGTACCAGAACCCCCCGCCTGATCGATGAGCCGGTACCAGAACCCCCCCCCGCCTGATCGATGAGCCGGTACCAGAACCCCCCGCCTGATCGATGAGCCGGGGTACCAGAACCCCCCCGCCTGATCGATGAGCCGGTACCAGAACCCCCGCCTGATCGATGAGCCGGGTACCAGAACCCCCGCCGCCTGATCGATGAGCCGGTACCAGAACCCCCGCCTGATCGATGTGTACCAAGTGAGGTTTATGTGGAAGTAACCCGTTCACTAGTATAACGACAAAGATTTTTCAGTCCACATTGAGTAATGCTTTATTTCTACCGTGTGCGGGATCTTTACCCTCTTTGGAAGAGAGAAATAGGCTCTTAGGGAGTCCTTTGGCATGGATCCTTCACCAATCAGGATTTATAGGCCTTCAAGAACTGCGGTGCAAGCTGGTCAAACTAATGATTTAATGAGCACCCTTTAATCACTTGTCCTCCTGAAGATTTACCCCCTTTATGACCAGGCTATTTTTTGCGTTATGGTGCTGCGTTATCTTAACTGACAATTGCGTGGTCATGCAACGCTGCACCCAAATGAAATTTACGTTCTTTTTTCCCATGAATTGAGCTTTCAGTGGTATTTGATCACCTGTGCATTTTTAATTTTTTGCGCTATAAGCAAAAAAAGACCAACAATTTTGAGAAAAAAAAAAAAATTTGGGACTTTTTGCTATTAAACATGTCCAGTAGAGAAAAAAAAAAAAAAAATCCATATCATAAATTTAGGCCAAAATGTATTCTGCTTTATGTCTTTGCTAAAAAAAAAAAAAAATCCCAATACATGTAAATTAATTAGTTTACATGAAAGTTATAGCTATACAAATGGTTATATATATATATATATACAAATGGCGGTATAGATAATGGGATTTTTTTTTCCACTAGTAATGGTAGCGATCAGTGACTTTTAGCAGGGACTGTGGTGGACACACTGACACTGGGTGGGGAAACTAACTTGGTGTCACTGACACCAATACAGTGATAGGTGCTAATAAAAAGCACTAATACTGTACTAATGGCACTGGGCAGGAAGGTGTTAATGTGAGGGTTGATCAAAGGGTTAACTATGTGCTGGGAGTGTTTTACCAGGGGGCAGAGGGGGGTGTTCCTCACTGTAAGCACACTGATCGGGATGGCTGTATTGTGCACAGCAATCCCAAGCAGCGTGATTGAGCTGACGGGGAGGAAGACTGTTTGTAAACAAAACAATCTTCCTTCTCCGCCGGAGATGCTCGGTAATCACCGGGCGCCGGCGGGTAATTACTGGCTGGACCCAGTGATTGATATCCATGGCCGCAAATGGCAGCGCATGCGTGCACTCCCTACCCAGAAATGCAAAACTGCGTATGTATACACGTGATTCTGCGCACAGGTTCCGCCCTGTAAGCAGTATGTCTGCTATAGGGCAGTCCTTAAGCGGTTAAAATCATTTAAGGAAATACATAGAGTAGAGGTTTACCAGGTGACATCATGATGCTGGTTCGCAGTACCTGTCCTAAGTGTAACGATGAGGGAGGGGCCCATGAGGTATCAGCCCAGGATTTACCGGCATTACAGCTCAAGTCAGCCTTTCGTGCTTTGATGGGACCCTAGATTTATGAAATAGTTGGGTCTTCCTATCTGGATGTTCTTTCCCCAATAGGAGATAATGGGGCGAAAATACACATATGACCTTTAGATCTTTGAGGTTCATCCCATCTAGCAAGTGAACCTTTGTGAGGTGATGGTGGATAACACAGCTGGAACACATTCGATGAGGATTTTATAACACTATGGATAATTCAGCTAGTAAAATGTGGTGGATCCATTTCCAAGGACATTTTTTGGGATGTCAGTGAAGCAGTGTCACACCGAAAAATTGTGGACTTTGTAGCATGACACATTATTGGTAGCACATATTTGTGTTTTTAGCGCTGATTGTGTATGGTATGTGGATACAGTCAGAGAGTTCTTTGTGCAGACATTTTGAAGTTAATGCAAGATTCACTTTAAGGCCTGTTTCATGGCTTGTATGGGCAGTATGAATAGCCAGCTTTTATGAAACTTGTGGCAAGCATTCTCTAAGACCTTAAAGCACCCTTCATCTCCCATTTGGAAATGCTATGCACAGATCAAAAGGAGCGTGCCTATTATTACTTAAACAAACTGCTAGCAGGCTTTCAACAAGCTTCGAGTACTGCTGAAGCCTGTTAGCAGCTTGTTTAACATTTCATTAAGGTGTGTGTACAACATTTACAAACATTTACAAAGGTTGATTTAAAAGCTTAAAAAAAAAAAAAAAAAAAAAAGCTTTCTGAAAGCTCTGAAAATGCTTTAAAATAGCATTTGCTGAAGCAAATGTGAAAGAAGCAAAAAAGAAAAAAAAAAAAGACAATTTGATACTGGAATTTCACATAAATCACAGTAAGGCTACTTAAACACTGATCCGCGGCAAAAACACGTGTAAAAAAAAAAAAAAAAAAAAAAAAAACCGGGCAGCTTGCAACAGATAAAATATACAGTACCCAAAGAAACCAACAGAGAAAATAATGCAACGCCTCTAAATATAGAACATTCCAAGCTTGAGGGCCGGTTCACAACTATAGAAACGCAGTCCAGATACGTTTTTGACTCATTCCAGTTAACTTTTTCCCGTCTTTTTTTTCTTCAGTTTAATTAGGGATGTGATCTCCAGTGCGTTTTTGGTGCATTTTACTGCGTTCCGGTACAGTTCTGTGCAGAAAAAAAAAAAATGCAGCATGTTCTACTTTTTTTCTGCAACTGGAACTTCAAGCACTGATGTGAACTATGATCTTGACAACCATGTAACCTAGTTTCTGTGCATTTTGGATGCAGAAAAAAAATAACTGAAAAGCATTTAGTGTGAATTGGCCCTAAAGCATGTGCTAAACATAATGTTGGCGTCATTGTTGACTCAAACCTCTCCTTCCAACCTCATGTCAAATCACTTACAAACACATGCAGGCTCCACCTCCACAACATTGCCAAGATACGTACCTTCCTTACCCCAGACACCACTAAACTACTCGTACACTCCCTCCTCTCTCGCCTTGACTACTGCAACTCCCTTCTCACTGGCCTACCCCAGTGCAGGCTCTCCCCGCTTCAGTCTATCCTGAACTCAGCGGCCAGACTCATCCACCTCACCAATCGCTCCACCTCTGCCACCCCCCTCTGCCTATCCCTCCACTGGCTCCCAGTTGCCCAACGCATCAAATTCAAACTTCTAACCCTGACCTACAAAGCCATTCACAACACTGCCCCTAACTACCTCACCAACCTGATTCCCAAATACCACCCTACCTGTACCCTTCGCTCCGCACAGGACCTCCTATCTTGCTCCCTGGTCTCCTCCTCCCATGCACGACTGCAAGACTTCTCCAGGTCCTCCCCCATCCTCTGGAACTCACTGCCCCATTCCATCAGACTGTCACCTTCCCTCCTCACCTTCAGGCGCTCCCTCAAAACCCATCTCTTCAGGGAAGCCTACCCCACCCTCACCTAACAGCCGTTCCCCTTCATTCCTCCCACACTCTATTCCCCACAGCCACTTCCTCCTGTACCACTACCCCCTCCCTCCTAGATTGTAAGCTCGAAAGAGTAGGGCCCTCTAACCACTCGTGTGCTGTTTGTTATTGTTGTACTGTTTCATGTATTGTCCCCCCCTATTGTACAGCGCTGAGCAAACCCTTTGGCGCTATATAAACTCGATGTAATGTAATGTTATAATGCACAAAAAGCATCCACAATACTCAAAAATGAAGAATAAATCAGTGTAAATAAAAGTCCAATGCAAAAAAAGGCCAAAATGTGTGATAAATATCACGGCAGAGAAAGTGTCTTCCAACAAATAATGGAAATCCTCTCCACCACAAGAGCCCTAGGAGCCACTACACGGACGTCTCGCCGCCAATTCCAGCTCTGGAACTGGCAGCTTTCTTTGTAAGTACACTGTATTTATCCTGACAATCGTTTTACTGGCATTTGGATGAAGTCTTTTACTTTATGTGAAATTTCTACTTTTTAATAAACATACTACACCATATGTGGTCCCTTGCTTGTGGATGTGTGGTGAGCTTTTTTAACCCAGACGATGTCAAGCAAACCTTCTTACTGTCCCCAGTGGTGAGAAGCGGTACTGCAGGGTGTCCCCATTGTAAGAATGGAGCTGGTTGACCACGTGTGAAGGATATGGTTGACACAAACACGCGTGTTGCAGCTTTCCTCTGGCAGCTTTAATGTCGGCGAGTGCATTTTAGTTCTGTTGCTCACATGTGGTGGAGAGGATTTCCATTAGTTGGTGGAAGAAACTTTCTCTGCAGTGATATTTATCACATATTTTGGCTTTGTTTGCATCGGACTTTATTTACATGGATTGATTTTTTTTTTTTTTTTTGAGTATTGTGGACGCTACATTATGAATGTTGTGTTTAGCACATGCTTTAAGTTTGTAATATTCTATATTTAGAGGCGCTGCATTATTTTCTCTGTTAAAACCGCCTGTGTCTTTGCCACATTTTTACATTTTTGGTGTGATTTTTAAAGAACATGTGACTCAAAAACTGCACCCAAAACACAACACCGGTGCATTTTTGCCATGTTTTTCCATTTGTTTCAAAGGGGACCAAACCAATATAAACCTGCACCAAAAATGCAGCAAGCAGGACTTTGAAAAGCACATCAGAACTGCAATGGATCAGTGTGAAGAGTTCCATAGGAATACATGGTCACATGTTGCTCTGCTTTTTTTGTTTTGTTTTTTGTTACGCAAAAGCACAAAAAAACTAAATCAATGTGAAAGCAGCCTAAGTGAATTCAATAAACTGCTCTTTTTTTCACCTTTACTGCTGGCTAAGAGCTGATAAAGACCAGCTGTGTCATCTACCCGAAACACTGAAGAGTTACAGGGGGCTTTGTGGCCCCATAGCAGAGTCTGTGCCTCACCTGGAGGTAGTAGTCTATTTGGATGAGATTGCAGCCTTGTAGGATTGACTGCGGCAGAGCCGGCACCAAGATCTGCTCGTCCCATACCGCGTGTTTCCAAGCCTTCACTGGAGCCCCTTCAACCTCTGCGATTGTCCGGAGGTCATAGACGCAGCGCTTTGATCTATAGGCAACTTTCTGAGCTCAAAAAGAAAGAAAAAGTGAAAAAATGACAAGAAATTTAATTGTGGACAAACACTGCGTCTCCACACCTTCACTAAAAAAAAAAAAAAAAAAAAAAAATAATAATTCACATTTGTCTTTCTTGCCTAATATCAGCTGCCACTTCAGGCTAAATTAGGCTTGCAAGTGACAACTGGCAGTACACCTTCAGATTTCTGGACAGGAAATCATCTGGGTTACAAAATATCTCCCCTACTACACAATCTTTATATTTCATATCTGACAACTCTTGAAACATTCTGTCCTTTTTACAAAGGTGTTCTTCATTATCAAATTACATTAAAATGGTTGTAAACCTCAGGACATGAAATCTTAAAGCACATATATTTCTATAGTGTTTACTTGCCCCTCTCCAAAGCACTACATGTCTTCTCTCAATTGTCTAGTTCCTCTTATCAACATGAGTCACTTCTGACAAGTTTTCATGACACCAATAGAAAAGTGGTGACAGGGAAGGGACCATCCAGCAAATTGACAGTCTCAGCTCTGTTCCTGTGTGAAGGGGGTGTGTCTTCCCTCCAATCAGCTCTCAGAGCTCTTCAACATGTAACTGCAGCTCCCCGCCCCCTGCTCTGTGAATCTATGAAAAATATTTTTCATCTCTGAGTTTTACAAGGATGTACAGGACAAATGGCAAATACAGGTACAACGTAGGTAGGAGGATTTGTTTTACCACTGTATCACCAGGCCAGTCACGTCATTGGGTATAGGTAGGGGTTTACAACCTAAAGTAGGTCAAAAGCCAAAATGCTAAGTCTTCATTTTGGAGTAGGAAAACCCAGGTCCGTTTAAATTTTTATGTTTGGTGTCCTCATTGGTAAAATTTCCTCTCATCTCCTCAGGACGAAAAGGAGGGTGAATCTCCCCAGCAAAGACAAAAAAAAATACATGACACAGATCCACTGTACCATTCTCCACTATCTAAAACTAAAATAAAACAGTTCTGTCTTTAGATAATATAGCTATACTTAAATAAAAAGCATAGTAGAAATAAGCACATTTTGAGCAGCTCCTACCATCCTCACCTGGATAAGAGATGCCATGATGGCCCCCGTGTCCCGACCGGACTTATTTTCCACATCTGTGTGAATTTTGATAGCTTGGCCCACTATATAGCCCCGCAGGTCAGAGGTCACACTGAGCAGCAGCTGGCCTGATTTCACCAGCTTGTAGTTAAACTTCTTGGTGGCGGTAGCACAACTGAGTTGCTGGAAGGAGAGAAGAGAGGGAGAAAGTCAAATAAAAAAAACGGAATGTTTGAACTAGCTGACTACTCCATGACTCCTCAGAGAAAGTCTATGCAATGGTAGAACAATCAGTCTCCAACAAGACAAACTTCATGTACAACTTGTTCATCCCTTTACTTTTTAGCTTAAAGTGATTCTAAAGGCTTAATATTTTTTTAAATAACAAACATGTGTACACTTACCTGCTGTGGGCAGTGGTTTTGCACAGAGCAGCCCAGATCCTTCTTCTCGGCGCTACTGGCCCCTCCCTCCTTTCGGGTGCCCTCACAGAAAGCAGCTTGCTGTGGGAGCACCTGCTGCTCTGTGTGTCCATTCTCACACACACACAGCCATGGCTCAGCCCCACCTCCTCTCCTCAGTGGCTCACTGGCTGTGATTGACAGCAATGGAGCCAATGGCTCCGGCTGCTGTCTCAGCCAATGAGGAGAGGGAGTCCTGGGATAGCGGAGACTCCAGTGCACATCACTGGATCGAGAGGGTTCAAGTATTAGGGGGGGCTTGAGTATTGTGGGTGCTGGGAGCGATGCTGCACAGAGAAGGTTTTTTTTAACCTTCAAGCATTGAAACGCATGAAGGTAAAAAAAAAAAAAAAAAAACTTAAGCCTTTGTAACCACTAACAATCCATAAATGTGGTGTCTGAATTAGTTTTCTGCTTTAGGCTTGTTTTCCTTTATTTTCACCTGATCAGCCCAGTAAATCAGGCCATACATTTTGCAATTTTCTTTTTAATCAAGTAAGGTTTCCCAGCTGTTAGAATACAATGATCATCGCAAACAGAACTCCAACTAAAGCTGGCCATAGACGGGCCATTTATCGGCCGAATTGTCGGCCGATAAACGAAAAATCGGTCATTGCTGCCATGGATGCTGCCACCAATGCTCAAGAAAAATGGCCGTTTTTCGTGGATTTTCCAGCATGACCAATAAAAAGAAATGAGAAGATCCGCAAAAAACGGCCGACGGCATTGCCCCACTAACGGCATGAATATCGGCCGATTTTTCGTTCAACGAAAATTCGGCTGATAAACGACCCGTCTTTGGCCTACATAACACTTGTTCAGTAGTTACAACAGTTTTCTCCTTTTAGGATAAAAAGGGTTTTACATAATTGAATAAAACTCTGACCATTGTAAGCATCCATGTCAGTGTTCAATGGTTTGTCCCAACCCTACAACTGCCACTTTTGATGGACAGTTTGGTCTGATAAAAGGAAACAGACCCCTGGTTGCAGAAAAGAAAATCAGATAAAATATGGCCGGATTAACGAGTTTTTGATTGCTTTAAAATTAAACAGAATTAGGAAGTCCCTCTCATTGGCTCCTTTTATCGTCGAAGGCTTCAAACAGTTTAGTTCTTTCACTTGGTATTTAATCTATTCATTTGCTAAGACCTCCTTATTGGGTTCTCTATGTGACAGAAAAGTCTGGAAGGAAATTCAATCCACCGGGGTGTTCTCATGACCAAAATATCAGTTATGGGTGAACTGACCATTGAACTTGGGATAAAAACTTACATCTATATCTGGGATCTCATTCAGGTCCAGGGGTCGCAGGATGTAGAAAAGTTTACTGGCTTTGTAATCTTTAGACAGCTTCCGCGTTTCTATAACGGCCTTCACCTGATGCGTCACCTTACCGAAAGGCCCCTCAAAAGATGTTGGTGCAGCAGCTGGAAAAAAAAAAAAAAAAACACAAACATACAGCATGAAGATGAATCCATGGTGTACAGCACAGGGGAAGATTTTATATGATATGAATGTGCATTGCAATTAAAAAAGGAAGAAGCTGTTGCATTGCTTTAAGTACTTCAGATTCTGGACATACTATATGTCCAGAGAATTGAAGAGTTCAAAACAAGCTCATGGATGCATTGGTGGGCCCCATACACCTATTCATACTACCTATTCCCCCTACTACACTCTTGCTACTGTGCAAGCATTTAACACCCCCCCCCCCCCCCCACTACGTTACTGCAAGCATTCCCCTGCACCCTCACTATTCTGCTGCAGGCATTTTCCAACCCAACTTGCTACTCTGCAAGCATTACCCCACCCCCTCTCACTACTTTGCAAGAAATATAATAATACAGTTAGGTCCATATATATCTGAACAAAAGGCACAATTTTAGTTTTTTTCAGGTATTTACCAAAACATATTCAAGCTACAGTTCTATAATGGATATGGGGTAAGTGCACACTCTCAGGTTTAATTTGAGGGTATGTACTTCCAAATTGGAGGAAGGGTTTAGGAATTACAGCTCTTAAGAGTAGCCACCCCCCCCCCCCTTTATCAAGGGACCAAAAGTAATTGGACAATTGAATCAAAAGCGGTTTCATGGCCAGGTGTGGGCTACTCCTTCGTCATCGCATAATCAATTAACCAGGCAAAAGGTCTGGAGTTGATTCTAAGTGTGATATTTGCATTTGGAATCTATTGCTGTGAACCTACATTACACGGTCAAAGGAGCTGTCCATGCAAGTGAAACAGGCCATTGTAAGGCTTGAAAAATGAAAAATCTATCAGAGAGATAGCAGCAACATTAGGAGTGGCCAAATCAACAGTTTGGTACATTCTGAGGAAAGAACGCACTAGTGAGCTCAGCAACATAAAAAGGCATGGATGTCCACGGAAGACAACAGTGGTGGATGATTGCAGAATCCTCTCTATGATAAAGAAAAAAACCCATTCACAACATCCAAAGAAGTGAAGGACACTCTCCAGGAGGTGGGCGTATCATTGTCAAAGTCTACAATCAAGAGAAGACTTCACGAGAGCAAATACAGAGGGTTTACCACAAGGTGCAAACCATTCATAAACCTGAAGAATAGAAAAGCCAGATTAGACTTTGCCAAAAAACATCTAAAAAAGCCAGACCAGTTCTGGAAAAGCATTCTTTGGACGGATGAAACTATAATATTAGTTTCATCCGTCCAAATAATCTGTACCAGAATGACGGGAAGAAAAAAAAAAAAAAAAAAAAAAAAAAAAAAAAAAAAGTGTGGAGAAGGCTTGGAACAGCTCATAATTCAAATCACACAACGTCATCTGTAAAACATGGTGGAGGCAGTGTGATTACATGGGCATGCATGGCTTCCAGTGGCACTGGGTCATTGGTGTCTATTGATGATGTGAGAGGAGACAAGTAGCCGGATGAATTCTGCAGTGTTTAGAGATTTACTGTCAGCCCAGAATAAGCCAAATGCAGCAAAGCTGATTGGACGGCGCTTCACAGTACAGACGGACAATGATCCAAAACATTGCAAAAGCAACCCAGGAGCTTTTGAAGGAAAAGAAGTGGAATATTCTGCAATGACGGAGTCAATCACCTGATCTCAACCCAATTAAGCATACATTTCACTTGCTGAAGGAAAAACTAAAAAGGCAGAAAGACCTACAAAGAACAACTGAAGACAGCTGCAGTTAGAGCCTGGCAAAGCATCAGAAAGGAGGAAACCCAGTCTTTGGTAATGTCCATGGGTTCCAGACTTCAGGCAGTCATTGCCAGTAAATTATTCTCAACAAAATATTAAAAATAAACATTTTATTTATGATTATATTAATTTGTCCATTTACTTTTGGTCCCTGGAAAAAGGGGGGGTGGGCTACTCTTAAGAGCTGTAATTCCCAAATCCTTCCTCCAATTTGGATGTGCATACCCTCAAATTAAACCTGAGAGCGTGCACTTTCAGCCCATATCCAGAACTATAGCTGGGATAGGTTTTGGTAAATACTTGGAAAAAAAAAAAACCTAAAAATTGTGCGTGCGTGCGTGCGGTTAATGGAGGTTAATTCCACACTGACCAGAAACTGCAACTGCTGATCAACAAAAGTTTTCCAACTTGTCTGTGCAACAGAATTTGATTCAAATGATCAACTTCTGCAGTGCAGGGACTGCCACACTCTAATCAGTATTTGTCAGCTTTCTGCTAGATCAAACAAATTTTGATCAGTCCATAGTCAGCTTTAGGAAGAATTTCCTACACTAAAATTTTACATTGATGCTGCAGAATAATTAATAGCAATTTTATAGTTACACAGAGCTAAGTGCGCTCATCATTCCCCCTCACTTGTGTGACTTCACCTTACCCAGGTGCTTACGCCTGACAGCTCAGGTGCTTACGCCTGACAGCCGCAGCCTCTGGTGTTTGTTTACATCATGCATTGCAATTCTTCTGTGTTTGTGCAGTACATCCCCATAGGCTTTTATGGAGAGGTCTCCAGGGGCCAGAGATGATCAGGACACAACCACATAGAAGCCTATAGGGAGAGGCTATAGATGCGTATTCAGAAGCTGGAGGTGCTCAGGACACGGCCCTATAAAAATCTATGGGAAGCTACTGCACAGACACAACCACAACACTGGAGACTCGTGTGGTGTGGGGTATAAAGAAACCATCGGGAAAAATGGGGGGCAAAAAGAATAAGGTCACTTTTGTGCACTTATCCTTTACCCCTGGTTCACATCTGTGCAGGTGGTGCCGCTGAAGGAGCTGCACCACCCACACAGAGGAATGTGGGACCCACAGACGGGTGCCATTAATTCTAATGGCACGCCGCCTGCACTGGAAATCGCAACCTTGGTTCCTGTGTTTGCTGCGATTTGCAGGGACCTCCCTGTGTGTCCCGGAGCATGGGAGTCCATTCAAAAGAATGGGCTCTTGTGCCCGTGCAAATCACGGCTCGCATGACCGCCCACATGTGAACCAGGGGTGGGCAGCACAGTGGCTGTGGTTAGCACTTCCGCCTGGCAGTACTAGGGTCACCGGTTTGAATCCCAACCACGGCACCACCTGCCTGGAGTTTGCATGTTCTCCCTGTGCCTGCATGGGTTTCCTCCGGTTTCCTCCCATACTCCAAAGACATGCTGGTACGTTAATTGGCTCCTGTCTAAATTGGCCCTAGTATGTGTCTGTATGAATGTGAGTTAGGGACCTTAGATTGTACGCCTCGAGGGTTAGGGACTGATGTGAATGTATAATATATATGTAAAAGCGCTGTGTAAATTGACAGCGCTATACAAGTACCTGAAATAAATAAAAATAAATCTTTCAGGGAGCAGCAATTACTAAACTCTTTGGGCAGGTGCACACTGTCATCCTCATCCTTCACTACAAAGTGTCACATCTGCAGAACCGACAAGCCACCAGGGAAGTGTCAGAACCCCAATATACACATAATCTGTCTGGGTCAGTGACTTGCCATCCATTGAAAGAGGGATAATAATAATGACAAGCTGGAGTCTGCACTATTCACAACCAGCAGTGGCAGCTCCCATGAATATGCCCCCAAGAGGTTCCCTTTCGGTCTTCTTGTCCTCAGACAGTACCATGTTACGCTGACCAACTTCCGTTTATTAGATAGGCAGACAGCCAACCTCATTTGCGGACATTACCTGGTAACAGAAACTGGAAGGCGAAGGAGTGTTCTCCTGGCTGAAGTGTTCCTGGAAAACACAGACAATTGCACAGTTAAAAATCAAATCTGTAGACCTTTGTTAAATCGCAATGCATATGAAAAGATTAGTTTAAAGAGAACATGTCCACACAGAACACAAGCCCATCTATTCTAATCTTGTGTCTTGAAACACCCTTCATTGTTCCCAGCTGCTGCCGGTATTCAACTTTTCCTGCAGTGATGCACAAAATGGTAGGAGGAACGACTGAATGTGATGGGAGCAGTAGATACAGCGAAGGAAATAATTATTTGATCCCCTTATTCCCCCCATGAACATGCAAATCAGTGCAGAATTTGTTAGACATGCATTTCTTTTAAATTCTTTGTTGCTATTCTGTCTCTCCGAGTTACAATACACCTACCATTTGATTTTTAGACTGATCATTTCTTTGTGAGTGGGCAAACATTCAAAATCAGCAGGGGATCAAATACTTATTTCCTTCACTGTACACCTGAAGTGTGGAATAGCTGAAGAGCAATGAAGCTGTGGAGTTTTTAAACCAAAGGACAGCAGAATGTGAAGTACAGATGGGGTTTCTTTCACAGGACTGGTGTTACCATACGGCCAGTTTGATGCAATCTTATCAGCTGATAATGAACAATACGCTATCTGCAATCTCTGACATTGTGAAACACCCACAATGCTCCTGGATACCAGAAGTCATGTAATCTAGTTAAAAAGAAGAAAAAAATGCCCGTGGGACTGCATAGATTTGTGATACAATTTGTCCATCTATTTTGTGAGTTTATGGAATTTAATTTTGAGCACATTAGGAGATTTTTGAAATATGTCAAAATTGACTATTCACAGTTAATGCCAAAACAGACGGAGCACTAAATCTGTCCTTTGTGTAATTTTAACATTTTATGTTTTTGTATAAGAAAATATTTTTAAATTGGTGAAGATCTAAGAAAATAAAAAGATTTTACATAGGATTGTTGTGCAGATGTACCGCTATAAAATCCCACGCACTTTAATTTTTTGGGAAGGGATGGAGCCACATCTGCCTATGTACCAGACCTAAATTAAGAATGTAATCTAGCTCAATGAGGAGTTTGGTAGCAGTAGATTTTTATTCATGCAAGAGTTTTTTTTAAAAAACATTATATGGTAATGCGGTCAGGTGCCCTACTTATTTGTTTGTAGTGTGACTGTTTCAGTGTTAAGTGCGCAATAAGAAGTTTGCTGCAAAGATGTATTAAAGTGGATGTAAATCCTGACACATACTCAGTGAAGTGATTGACCTCAGGAGATGCGAGGTGAAACAAATACTCCTACATAAGCTGTACCTGTTTATCTACAGCAATTTGTCCTGTACATCCTTGTAAAACTCTGATATGAAAAGGATTTTTCACAGACCACAAAAGCCGGGGGACAGGGTGAGTTGCAATACACACTGTAGACAAGAAGCTCAGAGCGGAGGGGAGGGGAGAGAAGGGGAGTAGGGGAGAGGGGAGGAGAAGGGGAGGATGGGAGAGGGGAGAGAAGGGGAGGAGGGAGAGGGGGAGAGAAGGGGGTAGGAGGGAAGAGGGGAGAGAGAGAAGGAGAGGGTTGGAGGAGAGGAGAGGGGAGAGAAGGGGGGTTGAGGGGAGAGGGGGGGGGAGGAGGGGAAGGGGGGAGAGAAGGGGATGAGGGGGGAGGTGGGAGGGGGGGGAGAGAAGGGGGGAGGGGGGGGGGGAGGGGGAAGAGGGGAGAGAAGGGGGGAGGGGGAGAGAAGGGGAGGGGGAGAGAAGGGGGAAGAGAAGGGGAGGAGAGGGGGGGAGGAGGGGAGGAGATGGGGAGGAGGGGGAGGAAGGGGGGGGGAGGGGGAGGAGAAGGGAGGAGGGGGAGAAGAAGGGGGGAGAGGGGTGAGGAGAGGGGCGAGGGGGGAGGGGGGAGAAGGGGAGGAGAGGGGAGAGAAGGGGAGGAAGGGGGGGGGAGAGAAGGGGAGGAGGGGGAGAGAAGGGGAGGGGGGAGGGGAGGGAAGGGGAGAGGGGGGGGGAGAGATGAAGGATGGGGAGGGGGAGTGGGGAAGGGGAGGAGGGGAGAGGGGGAGAGAAGGGGAGAGGGGGGGGAGAGAAGGGGGAGAGGGGAGGGGAGAGAAGGGGAGGGGAGGGGAGAGAAGGGGAGAGGGGAGGGAGGGGGTAGAGGATGGGCTATAGGGGGAGAAGGGGTGAGGATGGGAAGGAGAAGGGAGGTAGGGGAGGGGGGAGAAGGGGGGGGAGGGGAGAGAAGGGGATGAGGGGAGGGGAGGGGGGAGAGGAGGAGAGGGGGGGAGAGAAGGGGGGGGGGAGAGGGGGGAGGAGGAGGGGGGGGGAGAAGGGGAGGAGAGAGAGGAGGGGGGTGGGGGAGGGGGGGATATGAGTGGGGGAGGGGAGGAGGGGGCGAGGGGAGGATGGGGGAGAAGGGGAGGAGAGGGGAGGGGGTATAGAGGGGGGGAGGCCACGGTGAGAGGGGAGGGCAAAGGCTAGAGGGGGGGATAGGTGGGGGCTGAGGGGAAGGGGAGGATTATGTGGACGGATAGGAGATATAGGGGAGGGAGAGGAGGAGGGAGTATAGGAACGTTTTAGGAATACTGGGGGAGGGAAAGATGGGAGAGGGAGGGCTGGGAGAGATAGGGGGGAGAGGGGAAGGGGGAGAGGAGATGGGGAGGGGGGAGAGAGTGGGAGGGGAGAGAGGGGAGGGGGGAGGGGAGTGGGAGGAGGGGGGGGGAGGGGAGAGAGGGGAGAGAGTGGGAGAGGGGGAGAGAAGGGGAGAGGAGGGGGGAGGGGGGGGAGAAGGGAGGGGGAGAAGGGGAGGAGAGGGGGGAGGGGGGAGAGGGGAGAGGTGGGAGAGGGGGGAGAGGGGAGGGGAGAGAAGGGGAAGAGGGGAGGGGGGAAAGAGGGGGGGAGGGGAGGGGAGGAGGGGAGGGGAGGGTGAGGGGAGAGAAGGGGGGGGGAGAGGGGAGAGGCGAACAGAGGGGGGGAGGGGGAGGAGAGGGGAGGGGAGAGAGGGGGAGAGGGGAGGGGAGGAGAGGGGGAGAGGGGTGAGGGAGAGGGGGGGGGGAGGGGAGACGAGAGAAGGGGAGAGGAGGGGGGAGAGGGGAGGGGAGAGGGGAGGAGGAGAGAAGGGGAGAGGGGAGGGGAGAGAAGGGGAGGAGATGGGAGGGGAGAGAATGGGAGAGGGGAGGGGAGAGGGGGAGAGGGGGGGGAGGGGAGAGAAGGGGAGAGGGGAGGGGAGGGGAGGGGGGAGACGAGAGGGATGAGGGGGGAGAGAAAGGGGAGAGGGGAGGGGGAGGGGGAAGGGGAGAGGGAGGAGGGGAGGAAGGGGAGGAGGGGAGGGGAGAGAAGGGGACGGAGGAGGGGGGGGAGGGGGACAGGCGAGGGGAGGGTGGGGAGAGGAGGGGAGGGGAGGGGAGGGGAGGGGAAGGGGAGGGGAGAGGGGGGAGGGGATGGAGGGAGGGGAGGGGAGAGAAGGGGAGGGGGGAGGGGGGGGAGGGAGAAGGGGGAGGGGAGAGAGGGGGAGAGGAGAGAAGGGGAGAGAGAAGGGAGGGAGGAGAGGGGAGGGGAGAGGAGAAGGGGAGGGGAGGGGAGGGGGAGGAGAGGGGAGGAGAGGGGAGGGGAGAGAGGAAGGGGAGGAGGAGGGGAGGGGAGAGAAGGGAAGAGATGAGAGGGGAGGGGAGAGAAGGGGAGGAGAGGGGAGGGGAGAGAAGGGAGGAGGGGAGAGGGGAGAGGGTGAGAGGAGGAGGGGGAGGAGAGGGGAGAGGGGAGGAGAGGGGAGGAGAGGGGAGGAGCGTAGGGGGAGAGGGGAGGGATGAGGGGAGCGGACGGGTGATGAGGGGAGAGGGGATGAGGGGAGAGGGGAGAGGGGAAGGAGGGGAGGGGAGGGGGAGAGGGGGGAGGGGAGGGGGGGAGGAGGGAGAGAGGGAGAGGGGGAGAGGGGGATGGGGGGAGGGTGTGAGAGGGGAGGGGAGGGGGCGAGGGGAGGAGGGGAGGGGAGGAGGGGGGGTGAGAGGGGGGGGGGGGGAGGGTGAGAGGGGGGGGTGAGGGGGAGGGTGAGAGGGGAGAGAGCACAACATTGCATTCATCAGGTCATTTATCTTACGGGAAGAAACAAAACTTATACGTGACAAAATTTGTTTTAGATGTCCCCTCCCCACCATCCATCTTAACTGTCATCCACACACATACAAGAATTTAAAAATTTCATCTCCTGTGTTTGGGGCACTTGGTATATCAAATGGGAAAACAATTGAGTTGCAAATGGGCAATCCACTGAAACATCTCACCCGACTTTTAAATCGTGCGATTTCACTGTAAGTCTCACGATTTCAAAATCAGGCTTGATATGACGGGGGGAGGGGTCGGGTTCGATATATCATAAAGGAAAACTAAAATCAGAGAAGGGCATGAACATGATAATAAAAAGGTAAAAAGGGGCATCTTTATGGTGTCCAACCAGGTTATAATACAGTTAAGGTTCACTTTACTCTGACAGATGGGACTGTGGGGGGCCAATTATGCACATTACAGGAGGCAGAAAATTCAAGGCAGGTTCACAACAGTATCAAGGTCACAGTATTCTAGTATTTAGGTAGGAGCTGGTGGAGATGCGTGTCGTTTACAAAACTTGCATTCTCTGAGAGGTGTTGTCACCCTCCTTATGATCTTCATACCTACAGCACATCAGGCATATTACAAGAGGATTACTTGACAAATCTGTATGTGGCAGTTTGGCTAGGGTTCTTCTTTAAAAAACCATCTATTCCTCAATATGAACAATACACTCTGTTCTCCACTTGAGGGCAGAAAAAAGTATATTGATTAAATTTTAGAAGATATTAATAAGGCAAAAAATCAATAGTAGGCACAGAGCTGAGGGCCTGCAAAGAATTGAGCAATATTGAGCTTTTATGTGGAATTTTCAGGTAGTCTCAGTGTGGTTTTTCCATATCAACTAAATTGCAGAAAGCCCAAAAAGAAGAGACCTTCATTGCTAAGGTTTTATAGCCAAGAGTTTTGGTGATGCTC